AGAAAACCGAGAGCTAAAGTCAATAGAATAACCACTACTTGTTTCAGAGGTGCCGACATTCGTTCAAGTCAAGAAAAAGGTCACCTGGAATTTGTGTGCAAGGAAGGATGTCTAAAGGATGTAAAATTGGAAGAATTGAAAGGAATTCAACTGCCGGGCGCGTTATCGAAGAGACCGCTGGGCACGCTGTGGAATGCTTGGCGCATTGCAAGCATTTTTATCAGAACCGACATCGAAATGGCAGCAAAAATAAAGTTTTGGAGGGATGGAACGATCTGTTTGGACGAAGAAGCTCTACAAAAAGTTATTCGGTTGGCCTACGACAAATGTATGGACTGGACCGAATTCGTTTGCGTTACTGAAGGAATAAAACGGCACGAGAAAATCGAGGATTATGGATTCGAGAAGACTTACGATGCCGCATTGAAAAAAGTGAAAAGAGAAATCGAAGAGGAGGAAAAGGCGAAAAGGCCCATCAAGGAGGGATCTACTGCTTTCGCAGCACCGGCAGCTGCAGCACTCTTAGAAAAGGATGGTCCGAAGCGGGGAATCTCGACACGGGTAGCCTCGACCTTTTTGCAGCTCAAGGAGATTCTCAATGAATGGTCGGCACACGCCATATGGGTTATTGTTTGGCCGTTGGAACAAAAATTCAAGGAGGACGAAGTTACGGAAGTGGTGAGGGCCTGCGAGAGGCATTTTGAGAATGGTGGCCGTATAGTTTCGGCATGGCCTCCGGTTGTTGCGAAGAATTCTGAGGTGTGGAAAAAGATGATCGATATCTGGAAACTATTGGATGCGACTCTGGAGAGGAGAGCAGGATCTGGACAGTTTTTCAGAACGGCGAACTCGAAAATAGAGGAGGGAAAAATATTCTGTGAGCTGGGAGCACCAGAATCGTGTTTATCATTTTACGGAACCGACTGCACGGTAGGATGTGCGAAAGTGGTGTACGAGACGATTAAAAGAAGGACGACCAATTCGGTGGAGCTGCCAGAACTTAAAAGGATGGAGCCTCAGCTGCTGAGGACAGCAGCTTCGGAGAGGGGAGGCATGTGGGCCGAAAGATCATGGGTGCGACCCACAAAACGCCGGGGCGATCTGGGCGGGAATTAGAGTGTATTTAAGGACGAGGTTGGCAATAGTGATGTAGAACGTCCCCGCCGGATTTTCCCCCTTTCCCCCTTTTTTGGATTGAGTTGTATTTTTAATTGTTTTCATTGATTTTATTTCGCGATTTGGGTTTTTTTCTTCGCGTAAATTGTTTTGTTGTTAATCGTGCGAATAAATATTTGTGTTCGCAACTTGTGTGCGTGGAGCTAACACTGTTTTAAACAGTTGATATCTCTCATTAGAACGAATCTTTCGGTACACCATTCAGATCACCCCACAAATGTGCAAACAACAATTATGGGCAAATCTATAATATGCACTTCCAGCCACACTTCAGCATTATGTAGGTCAAAAAGCCAACACTGATCATACGAAACAAAAATATCGAACAAGGAAAGAATCCCAAGTCGAAATGGCCATTTGAAATGAGACCTTTACTGCTAGACGTACACTGGTGTGCAAAACATAGAGACGAGGGTGATAATGTAACATAAAACATTGAGGACTGGGTGGAAACAAATGAAAGTGTGACATAATATTGCCAGATCTATGACGATTATGCACAGAAATTTGGACATCCCTTCGTGCAGGAATAGTCCAAACAAAGCGAGAAATATGGCTACTCGCACAAATCGAGGCAGCTGATAGGTACGAAAAAAATTTTTGCCAATCAGCCAGTAGCTGCCAAGTACTGTGGTGGTATCCTTTCCTACATCATGTACCGCAGACATCGTCTGGACGACTGGGCCGAGGAAGGTCATTGGGAAACTCGAAAAAGGCCGAATCATGGTGAGTGTAGCTCAGAAGCCTATAATCGCTCGCAGCGCTGTTCCACGTGCACGGAGAGCATTCCGAACCTCTGATACGAAGGAGAGGAGGTGGTTGACCAAGAACAACTACATGAAGTTATGATCGCTACATTGTGCAGCACGCAAGAAGAAATCCACGTCAGTCAGCTTCTTTGATTGCAATGTCACTTGACAGGATTTAAAAGCAAGCTATCCCTCGCATTACCGTGGCACGACGACTGCACGGTTGCGGTACCTTCGCCCGACGACCACTACGTAGTGTTCCTTCCACCCTCGCGAATCGGCGTGACCGTTTAGGGTGGTGCCAGGAGCATAGCGAACGGATCGATGAAAAATGGGGCCGTTTGCATTTTCCGGATGGGAGCAGATTCAGTCTGAGTAGTGATTTTGGACGCACCATCATGGCCAGAGGTGGGGACATGCACGTCTCTCAGAAACGTTGCGGAACTTGATCGTTCTGGTGGTCGAGGTGTTTTTTTTTTTTTTTTTTTTTTTGAAAACATCTATATTTATCAAAAATAGTACAACATCAGCTGACAGGCACGATAATGTCGGCTAGACTAGCACGAAATATATACATAATAACCCGTAATGAGGAAGGCGTATCAGGTACAATGGAAGCGGAGATCGAAAACCTGAGGGAACACAGAGAAGCTTCTACGACTAAAGGCTGTTGCGAACACTCATGACTGGATTTCATTTTCACTTCTGTTTCGTTGCAGCTGTGCGATCTCCAGCTCGAGTTTCTTGATCTTCATTTGGTAATATCTAGTCATCGCTTCCTCCCTAGCAATCTGCGCTTCATATGCTTTCTTTTGGAGGCTCTTCAGATCGCGACAGTTATCCTTAGGTGACACTACTGACGATACAGAACTGATGGTTGACACTTTAGGTAGAGATATAGGACATTTAAGATGTTCGACCGACGGTTTCCTTTCGCTAGCATTTGTATAGGGTACCGCATAAAGAGACTCGTCATCCTTTGGTGCAGCGGGAACTGAGCTCACAGAGCGTACATAATCACCAACAGTGGCCACACGTTCGGAACCGCAGCTGTCGCTTTCAGTAATTTTTCGAACGTATCGCTCTGGAGAGTCTACAAAACCTTCGGCCGAGTCTGCAGCACTTTTATGACGATTCTTGCCAAAACCTAACGCAGCCATAAGGTCATGATCTATAGGACCATCGTCATCGATCCGTTGCCGCTTTGAGTACCGATGTTCCTCAAACTTGGGTAATTAAACCGGTGTTATGGTATGGGGAGGCTTCATGCTTCGAAACCTTACTGACCTCCAAGTTTTTGAGCGTTTGACTCTTAACAGTCAGCGTTAGTGTAAAAAGGAACCCCTTTCTAATGTGTATCTTTTCAGGGCTGCAGTGAGCCCTGAATTCATTCTTATGGATAACAATGCGCAACCGCATCGAACAGCTCGGGTGGAAGAGCTCTTGACACAAGAGGTTATCAAGCGAATGGAGTGGCCTGCCCGTTCTCACGACCTGAATGCCATCGAGCACGTATAGGATGCACTGGATAGAGGCATTGCAGCACGTCCAAGTGCGTCGTTGACTATCAAACAGTTGTCTATTGCGCTGATAGAGGAGTGGAATGCCCTACCACAATTAGTCATTCCCAACCTCGTGGAAAGTATGGGATCGCGTTGCAGAGCATTTACTGCTGTCCGTGGTGATCACACACCCTATTAGGAAACGCGTCGATTCTTTTGAAGTACCGGGATAAGTTGTGAGGAACTATGTGTCATCGGTACCTTTCAATAAAAATGTCTTATTTGCTTGTCCTATTTCGATTTTCTGCTAGTTGCTTCCTGTGCAATACCGTAATGATCGTCTATTGGTACGGTATAAACTTCATGGAGCTCTGTCGTCTGGCAGAGGTACAGTAATCGAAAGTTGCTTTCGTCCCTAAGTTTTGCACCCCACTGTATTTTTTGATGCCGATTTCGAATCTGCATTCAAAATCTGCCAAACGATTCCCTGAACAAAGTTATAGAGGTGGTCTCCGGAGCGCTCATTAGGGGCAAGCACAAAAGACATGATCGCCGGCAGTCCGGCGGCTTGGAGTAAAGATAAGCGTGACGCTTCATAAGCATGGGACCAAGGATCGGGTTTGGTGGGCGCCGGCGTTTTTACATTTTGCACGACTTTTTCCTCCAATTGCAAAAACCCTTTTATGTTAGTTTAACCGCCTTCAGCGACTTTTTAGTTGCTGAAGGTGAGTCAGTTCCTACTTAGACCGTCCTATATCTGCTCTAACTACCAACATGACAAAAAATCTATTCTAATACATTTCAAATTCATAGGATACATTTTACCTATCATAAGCAGATGTGATATTATAGCACGAAATGTTACAACAAAGAAGTTTTTCGCAATGAGCGGAACGAATGGAAAAATTTCACAGCAGGCTGTTCTTTCACAATCACTACACCACATGGAAACCAGAACTGTGTATGTGTCTCGAAATAAACTCATATTTTACCAAACAACAACGACCCTGTAGATGTGCTTGCTGTTTTCTCTTCATCATCAGGTTCTCACAGTTGGTCGGCCTCCACGTCCTCAATCACGCAGTCTTCTTCCCAGTCAATATCGAGGTCTTCGTAAGTGGAATTCCGCAAGATAGAAGACAAACCATCTATCAACTTTGCTCCTTCCTTGTAGGGGCGCGTTCGACATCACAGGATCCGAGGTTCTTCAAAAGGTGCGGAACTACCAACTCTGGGCAGTATATACCATACTTTGCCGCGTTTGCCCGTGGCAACCCTCACCTTTTTTGAAAACTGAACGCAACTCCCACCTTCTTCGAAAACTAATCGATATCATTGCGCAGTGGAAGACGGTTTTGGCAAGAAATGATTTACCTCGAACATTCAAAAAGTGACCGAAGGTGGCAAAAGATTGTTACAACCTGGAAGGAAAAGTCCAGCAAGATGCGAAAACGGCGGCGCCCACCAAACCCGGTCTTTGGTCCCATGCCTATTAGGCGCCACGTTTACCTCCACATCAAGCCGCCAATGGTGGACTAACGGCAGATTTTGAATGCATATTCGAAATCAGCATCAAAAAATACGTCTAGCAATGTAGGTCTCATTTCAAACGGCCACTTCGACTTGTGATCCTTCCCTTGTAAGGAGCAACGTAGCGTGGAAACGAAGCTGACTTCATCTCAGCTTGGCAAGAAAGTTCTCCGGCAAAATGAAGGTCACTTTGAATCCATTTTCAGAACTGTCCAAATAGACAGACTATAAGAAATATATTCACCATGATGACAACCTTCTCTTCTTTTGATCTTTTGAGATTACTTGATCTTTTTAAGATTACTGATGCTTTTCGTCCAGAAGACAGGAAACTGTGGATCAAAGAAGTCACTGACTATTCAGATTAAGGTAAGCCACGATTTTTTTTTCCAACAAAGTCATGCCTGAAAAGGCGGGCAGCAAATGGTTAACGAAAATGACAACGTTCCGACGTACGACTGATGAACAACCTAAAACCAAGTGAGACCGGTGAATCTTCGACGGATCTCTAAAGCGACGACGCGTCTTTCAGTAGAGAAATGAAAATGCATCTGGACTTGCTTCAGCGCGTTTGCCAAGTAAAGGCGTTCATAAGGGTGAACATTGACTATTCAGCGTGGTTCCAGCAACTCATCCCTCAATGCCTCAAAAACTATGAGACGATATTTTCGTTACTTCAAAGGCTAGTATCTCCTACAGTAAAGCGATTCAACCAACTGTTGACCATCTATCGGAAAAAGTGCTTTTAGCGAAAAGGTTGTTGTTGATTCCAGCAACTACAGCCGCGTTTTCCCCTTGGCATACCTGGTAGAAATGCCAGCACAAATTAATGCTGTCCAATCATCGATGGTAACCATGTGCGTGCCCTTGTTCACCCACGTGTTGATTGTACGGGAAATGTTCTAGAAATTTATCATCCTCGCATATCGCGCTCAAATTGTCTATACAAAATATGCTTCGAATTTTTTGTCGAGTTCCCTCTTGGCAACTGAACTCATGAAGAGACTTCCCCATTCCTTCTGAGATAATGATGAAGCTTCGATCCATCTTTAATCAGAGCTACTTTTACACAAAAAGTTAATCACGATGCGAAGTCACAACATACTTGAAGCAATTGCAGTCAACCAGCTCTTCGATTTCGGACCGATATCGAGCTGGAGGTAACCGGTCTACTTCTTCGTCACTAACATCGCTCAAATGGTTTTCGACCCCTTTTGTAGGGCGTCGCTAAAATCTTGCCCGTAACTTTCAATCCGCTAATCCCACGAAAGTAAGACAGTAAGAAATTAAGAACACTCACGGGTATGCGAGGAACTTCGTCGAGCGATTCGTCAAGAAGAGTAACTGCGATTCCACCAAAAGGCTGAAAAAAATTAACACGAACCAATTGATCGCATCTGTAGTACCGACGCTGACTTCAAGGTTGGTCCAATAAGTGCTAACACAGAACGCCGGTGACGGCGTCGAAGTTCTGTGCTGATACTCATAGGGCCGGCCCCGCTGCATTGACGAGTTTTCAAATGGTCGAAATGAAGAAAATATGGGTTCACTGCTAACCACATGGACGAACACGTAACTACTAACACTAACTTGAAAATGAACATAAAGCATCTATGAAAAGCAGAGTCGTACCCAACGAAAGCTGCTCTGCAATCAATTTAGAACATGTAAACAGGGAACATAGAAAAAAGCGAGGCTGAATGTGACTTTTGATGCTTCAAAACTTCTAATGGAGCATCAGTTATGGACCTGTGGGATATCGACTGAGGATCGAGGCCGTCATCGGTACAAATATGAATATTTATGAGTGTATATGTACGAATGCAACTATGGGTGGACACCGAGGTTGCAAGTGCAAGCAAGAAATAGCAGAAGAAATCACAAAGAATAACACATAGAGGCTCTGTTAGTTTTATGCAAATCACAATGAATAACACATAGAGGCTCTGTTAGTTTTATGCAAACAAATACCAACTTCTTCGTCCACCTCCTCAGCTTCTATAGCAACATCCTGAAAAGCAAAAATGATAGCATAAAAGCAATATTCGCAAAATTCGAAGATCAAAACAAGTAAGAAACAATGCAAATAAGAAAAACGTAAGTATTACCTCGGAAATGTTCTCAACGTTGAAGTCTTGAGTTGCTCCACTCACCTGTAAATGGACCACTGCACTATACGCAAAAAAAGATCAAAATTTAATACCACTGATCTTTCTCTGGGGAGCAACTTCGGGGACCAATTTCCGTTTACATATGCTGAGTGAACGGAGGGTGCAGTGGTAAGCGGGGTACTATCAGCAAGCATGGTCAAGCGTCAAGGGCAAAACAAACCTACCATAACCTTTTCGATTGAATGGTGCCAGACTTGTCTGCGATGATAAAAGCACTGACTTGTACATTGGCTGGTCACCGTAAGTCAAGTGCAAGTGTATAGGCCACCTACGCATTCCAGTTGTCACTACGATTCACAATGGAAGTTGAGCGTGTAGAGGAATTAAGGAATTCATTAACGCCTATAGACTTTTTGAATTTTGTGTGCTAGCACGCTATTACACAAGATGATTGAACATTGCCAGCCGAAAAATGCGGGATCTACCAAAATTACTATGCCTGCGTCACAGCGCTGTAGAAAGGACGATGCAATCCCCTCCACAAGTACAGAAGGGAATCTGGAGTTCAGAGCTCCGTCAACGAAAGGAAATCAGAGATGCCGCTGCTTATGCTAAGGAATCGAAGTTCCACTGGGTCGGAAACGTTGTGCGACATCGTGATGACCGCTAGACCACGGCGATAACTGGCTGGATCCCTCGCGACGTCAAACGAACATCAGGACATAAGGACGGCCACCAGCGCGATGGTCAGACTCAAGGGAAGGTCCCTCAACCGCATTATCATCTCCGATTTTTGTATAGACATATAGTGCTGGTCAAAAAGAAATCACCTTTACCCTTTTTTGTCATAACTCATCTCGAACTCGATATTTTTGACTGATTTTTTGGCAGCACCTTCTTCAAATACCTCCGACTTTTCTGCGATGCGAAATACGCGGGAGCTTACTTCCCGCCAACTGGACGTTTTTTTCTCAAAAACTTGTAAAGTCGGCCTGATTTTATGTGGGTTTTTCTGAGAATTTTTCGAGTATAAAACTGCTCGAGAGTTCTTTGTTTCAACAGTAAATCTCCTTTAATAAAAGGACGAAACTCTAGCACTCGCTCTCTAACCGTGGAGCAGCTCTCCGCCATTGCCACGGGCAGTAAGCAGGAATTGACCCATGCTCAATATCCAAGTGTGTTTGTTGTGTCATTGCCTGCGATTACGAAGGATATGGGAGATGTTGAGTTTCTCACGGGCACAATCGAACAAGCCAGCTCGGGGAGGCCACGGATTTCCGCTCCTGAGGACAATAGGAAGATCATTTGTGCGTCGACTCAAGATCACAGAAGAGCATCTTCCGATATAATGGCCGAAATATCGATGACGGCGAAGTCGTTACCAGGGATGCTGGATTATATGATAGAAGACTTGTAAAAAAGTATCCGGATCTCTGAAAATTAGACGAGTTCGAATTCAATGGCCGCGTAATTACCCACACTGGTCTTTCGACCAATGGCGCGACGTCATCTAGAGCGACTAGTCAAAGATTGTTTCGCTTGGTACAGATGGAATTTCGTTCGTAAACGACCTCTAAATACCATTTTCGACCCCGAATACCAATTAGCAGCTCTCAGGCATGGTGTTGGTTCAGTATTGCCTTGGGAATATTTTCCGTATAGGCATGGGGTCCCTGTACCATAATCCCACCACTACGGACCACCAGAAGTACGTAATTTTGCAGAAATGCATGCTACCTTTCGCCCGTCCTGTAGACGGCAGCAAACCTATTTTCCAACAGGATAACCACCCCAAACAGAGATCTAGAATGGGGCGCGAGTGGCTGACTCATCGGAAAATTCGAAGCTTTGAAGGTCCCGGCCACTCCTTGACCTAAACATCATTGAGCCCTCGTGGCAGGAAGGAGAAAGAAAAGGATAGGTGGTGTGTGGTTGGAGAGGCCAATTTGAAGAAGAATGGAAGAAAATTGATAAGTGCCTGATCGACAAGTTGGTCGAGTCAATGCCCCGCAGTTGCCAAGCCGTCATCGATGCCAACTGCTTTGCTACAAAGCATTAGGTTAGTAGTTGTTTAGGTGTTAATCTCATGATGATAGCGTTTAAGTCAAGTGATTTATTTTGAACCAGTTTGGCTTTGCAAGCTAACGCGTGCAGTATATGTCGACGACCACATATCCTCGATGGAGTCATTCAGCGGAATTTTGGAAAATCAGAACAAGATAGTTCTTTCTAGATTCGAACACTGATTTGCTGATAGGATCACGCTCGATGTATTTGAGCAGAGTTATCAGCGGTTGATCATAGCTCCGTCCATCTTAGTGCAGACCCTTCCCACTGTAAATTTGGCCACCCTTCTTTTGAATGCTCCAAACCACTTTTTCCTCATTTTAGAAAATTTTTGAAGGGATCCATTTCCTGGCTTTCCTCTGCTAGCTCCGCCCGCATCGGGAGTTTGGCCACATTTGTCCATTACCTCTTACCACTTTCCCGCGTTCTAGAACGTTTCTCAACAGAGTTATGAAATTTTGATCTAACCCCCGCCCACTTTGGTGCCAACCCCGCCCACATCGGGAGTTTGGCCACATTTGTCCATTACCTCTTACCACTTTTCCCGCGTTCTAGAACGTTTCTGAACAGTTATGAAATTTTGATCTAAGCCCAGCCCACTTTGGTGCCAACCCCGCCCGTTTCGGGGATTTGACCGCATTTGTTCCATTACCTCTTACCACTTTTTTCTCGCGTTTTAGAACGTTTCTGAACGAAGTTACACTCATTTTCGAAAAGTAGCTTTCACCTCAACACACGCCCCGCCCATCGTGGGCGGGGCTTCACTAGGCTTACGCATGCCCAGCACGCATAAGGCCTTGCTCACTTTTTTTTCCTGGCCACGACGCCCTCGATGGATCGAGTTATAAATCTCTGTAGTAAGTACCGCCCACTGCGAGAACGCCCCTCCCACCACCGGTACGTTCCTTTTATTTTAATTGTTGACCCATCCCTCACCTTTACACATTTTTTCCCGGCGTCTGGAGTGTTTTGAGACCGAATGAGAAGAATTTGCCCATAACCCCGCCCAATCCCGGCACATGCTCCGCCCCTTGGGGGCTCCGCTCCGCTATTCTCACATGTGCTCTATTGCACTTACCCTATCCTCAACCCATTCCAAACTTGACCCGACTTTTTCAGGTGTTTCTTCATGTTATATCGAATTTCCGTACAAACAAACAAACAGACAGACAGAGCGCTTTATATATAGTAAGGATTCTGGAAACTGGTATTATTTTGTTCTGTTCAGGAATGTGAAAAATGGCCTTTTAACCTGAATAAAAAAGGTTTCGTGAGTTCTATGGTGGGGACATTGAGAATCATTACTGTTATCAACATACCCAAAATATCATTCGAAAACATCGAGTTTGAGATGAGTTATGAGAAAAAGGTTCAAGGTGATTTCTTTTTGATCAGTACTTAATATAGCGCGATGCCAGCACAGGTCGAAATCGCCGTTTTGAGGTCTCCACTTCACTCCACATTACTCACTTCACTCCGCAGTTCTAACTCTATTCCATTAACCTAGCCACCAAGTTGCTTATTTATAAGAAGGAAATGTAGGATAGAACTGGGTTTTCCCTATCACTACCTTATCGTAATTTATCGTAATCATAAAGTTTGCGAACGGACAGACCGACAAACACACAAACCTACAAATCGACAAAACGACACACCAAGTTACTGCGTTATAAGAGAAATGAATGTGGGCTGTGCCCAGATACCGTATCGTTAGTGACGTGTATGAGTACAATAAACCAGCGGGATAAAAGGGTGCACCGCGTCAACAGCAATACTTGGGTTACCTATTTGATTGCACACTGAAGATAACGATAGGCTATGCCTTCGCTATGTCTGAAGAGGTGCTTATCAAGAGTATTACTTAGGGTGATTAGGTGGACTAGTTTTGAGCCCACAACAGTGCCAGAAAGATATTGGAAGCGTTGCACATCCGCGAGAGAAGTTCTAAGCTGAACAATGGAAATGAGTGCTTTGCTATAATGAGTTTCTGCCATTCATTCCTTTTTGAGGGCTTTGAGATCACCGCGTATTTCTCACATCACGACCGTCGATGATGTCTCATTGGTCGCTTATTGTTCACAAAATCGAGTAGAACGGCATCGTGGTGAAACCGCAGAAGGTTAGTTTCTTCGCTGGGATCTTTTTGGTGTCCATGTTTGTGGGAGTTGTTGCAACTGACCTAGTGCGTTCGGGCGCTTGGTCGGGTACGCCACAGATCAGGGCTCCAAATTACTTTCAGGTCCTTGAAGATGACGAGCTGTTCATGTCGACATAATAAAGCGGTTTCGCCACATTACACCTGTACGGCAAAACAGTGCAAAAACATTATGTGACATGACCAGGTTTCCAGACGACCGAACGAGAAAATTACTCATGTGAAGGTCCGAGCGGCATATGATGAGCAAATGTTCGATTTTAGATTGAGCGCGAACACTTCAAAGCGGTTTTGAATGTTGATAAAATGAGCGGTCATGTCTAACGTGCAGACAAAAACAGTGATAGCTAGACTGTTGAGTTTATTGTTTCCTTAAACTCTTCACGAGCTTTGTAAACAAGCTTTATTAGGCTGACGTTTTGGCGATATCGCCGTCTTCAGGGCCCGAAAGGATCATAACAACCTGTGATTATCCGACCAAACTCTCCAGCAACTCAGTGAAATTCGAGACTTCGAGGGCTTGCAGGTGATCAAAAGGAGAAGCACTCACCGCAGCTTCGTGGATTCTTCGAAACCACCCAGCTTTTGATGGTACCAACCGACCAGTGCCAGCTGGAGTAAGTCCTCACTCAAAGTCAATGCGGGAAGGCCAATCTTATATAAGGACGCAGCTATCGCGTGATTGCGAAACATTCTTCCATTCGATTCATTTTTGGATCAGTGACTTGTATCCAAAATACCTCGAGTGTATCACGCACGCACAATTGCGTCTCCTGCACTACGACCTCCACGGTGACCTCAAAAACGCCTCCTTTATGATTTTAAATTCGATGACTCCCTAATGCAGCTCTTTCAACCGCCCCAAACCATCTATGTTCTCCTTAACCCTAACGTGAAGTGGTCTTGCCGTTTCATCACCACAATCACGGCAAGTAATCTTGTAGACCACCCCAGACATGTTACAATCACCTT